TTCAGTGAAGAGTGATATGAACAAAAATAATGACCTATGAAAATCTGTTTCAAATTATTTTAAAATAGAGATAAAGATTTGTTGTGAGTATCTGTGTGAATGTCAAGACAGATAACATGATAATGGCAAAGGAAAAAAACCAATACCTACTCCCCAGAAAAATCCATAATCCTAGATGAGTTACTAAAAAAGGTAGTAGTGGATCACTTTTTAAATAAATGTCTTCAGAAAGTAGAATAGACACCCTACTTGGAATTGCAGATGCCCTTTTTATTAATCTCAATTTGCATTTTCTAGATGTTCTAGAAAATTCAGTAGATGGACTTCTACTCTGAAGCAGGAATACCCAAGAAGAGACCAGGGCAGTTCCACATTCCAGCTTTTTCACAGACCCTATTTTCCACCCCGCTACGCTCCCCATAAGCTCACATCCCACCCTCTATGGTTAGATTTGTATTTCATCCTGATGTAAAGGTTCCTCCGGATGGCCTTCTCAACCACCATGGCTAGAAGTACACCTGGCAGAAGATACAGCACTGCCATGGCCACACAGAGCAACTCATGTGACTTAGGCATGACTTAGTTCACCACCAGCGCCCATCCCTGCAGCCCAGGTCACCAGAAGGCACCACCTGAGACACTCACCTTTGTGGTGCAGGGCACTCCTGGTGGCCTTGCAGATCTTCAGTGGTCTGCAAACTAGGAATCAAATGTACAAAAGTGTTTAGAAAGACAGACATAAGAACAAAACTGAGCTAGGTTATCTCTGTTATTCCTCACTGCAAAGGTAAAATGGAGTTCTTAAAAGTGTCGGGAGACAATGAAGCCCTAATTTGCACAGCACAAACTAGATACAAACACCTTCACTACCTTCTGTGTCCCTTCCACAGAGTCTCTAGCAAAGAATAAAGATTTCTCCTTTTTAGTAGGCTTCAGAGAACAGTGAGAAAATAGATGTTCAGCTTGCTCCCCTCCTTTAATTGAGCTCTAGGTCACTCACTCTACCTGCAAGTACAAAGGAGGTGGCTGCACAAAAACTACAGAGGTCACCTTTGATCCTGTGTATTGCCACTGATGAAAACATGTTAAGAAAGAAAACAAGAGTCAATATATTCTTTTCTTCAATGAATAACAGAAGTTTGTAAGAAAAGATGAATTCTTCACACTTTTGTAAACAGAATGAGAGGAGTTGCCTTTCAGTCCATAGTCTCCTTCTTCTGTCTCCAAAACAATCATACTCAGGTCTTCATCTTCTCAGATTGGGACTGGTGCACAATCAGGAATTCTTGCCACACTCCTGCATTTCTTGAGAAGTGACTGTGAGACATGTATCATAATTCTGGCAGTGTCAGAGAACCAAGCTTTGCTAACCAATGGACAAAAGATGTAGATGCTTAGAATGTGACATATGAATTCCTGAAATATGGGAAAAAATCTCTTCCTTCTCAGAATGTCATTTATTGTTCAGGATGATCCTTTTTGATTTAGTCTGAACCCTCTTGCTCCAATTTCCATGAACTCAAACAGATTTCCTAGGTTAGGAAAGACCATCTTCTATCTTTCTGCACCCACTGTTGAAAATTCAACACCCCAACATCCCATTACACTTCAGCTCTGTAATTCTGCTTGTGAAAAGAACAGTGAAGGCATCACAAGAGACAGTTTCTATTTTTCCTCATTTCAACACTGCAGTGACTCAGTACAAGAAGGGAGAGTTGATCTCTCTGCCAAGAGATGGTGCAACAAAAGAATCTGTCAGCTCATCCCTCTAAGGCCTCTGCAGCACATAGATCTAAAACATATTTTTACAGCATCATTGTTCTCCTCAGTAAATATAAAGTCACCCTGCTGCCTTCATGGTAAACAGAGTTACTCAGTGCATAAATAGCTAATTTTATGTTACTAGAATCGTAGTTATTAATAGTTTCTGAATTTCATCTTCCTCAAAGATTGCTGGATCTAAGCACGAGGCACACAAAGGAAAGAGGAAGAGACCAAGACAGATAGGATTAGATTAAACAGTATTCAAGAAACGACTGGACATTATACGGTGATCTCAGAGGTCTTTTCCAATCTAAATGATTCTGTGATTCTGCAAATATTAAGACCTAAGCTACTGTCCCTACAGCTTAGTCAGAAACTCCTGAGCTAGCTTTAAACCAGGTAGCCCTTGCATGGCAGTAGATGGGCCTTGGGTCAGCCTTGTCACCAGAATCATGGCATGCAGTGTCACATCATGGTTTTTACCCTGAAAGATGATCAAGTCCAGAGACATGGCTCAGGGGTCCTAGCATCACAAAAATTCAGGGACCAGCTTCTACTGGCACTCATCATCTGCTACTTACAATCTTTATCAAATCCAGGGCTCTTGTGAACTAAAAATGGAAAAGTCTTTCTTACAAGATCAAGAAAAATCACCTTATGTAAATAAAGGGTTAAAGAAACACTTGAGAATGTCTTGTGATCCAAAGAAAATGATAAAAATTTCAAAGCAAATTTAATAGTTAATAAGTTTGAATCATTAGAACTATTTTTCAAGTCATATTCTTGCAAGGAAGGTATTTCTTATACCATCATATCTTCACATAAAAAGTATTAGGGAATTACAAAACATTATTTCAACATCATCCAAGCATGCAAAGTACTGAAAAGTACTAGAATGACAGAGGCCCACTATTCACCTATGATTGCAAACTTTCCCTTACACATGGAAAGCCCACAACTGCAGCAGTTTATTTTGAACAGAGTGACATGGACAAAAACTGAATTTCTAAGATATTCTGAATCAGACTAAAGGGCTGTCTAAATCTTAAACTGCGTCCAGTGGGTGTCACCAGTGGGATGAAGAGCACTGAAGATCATATAGTCATGAATCCCTAAAATATCACTCTTCCTTTAAAAGCTTGGTGACAGTATTTAGATTTTTCTTTTATTTTTTCCCTTAAGTCTTGAAATCCATACAATCTTTTGACATTCACCAATCCTGTTGCAAAGAGTTCTTCAGCCTTATCGTGTGTTGTACAGACTCTTCCACCACCACACACTGTGTACATTTCATGCACCCTGTTCCTATATTGTAAGAGACTGTGAACAGTAGCTCTTAATGCCGCCCATAAGCCTTAAATGAACCCTTGGTCATCAGTTTTCCATGCTGAAGCCTCCTGTTCTGAATATTTTACCCTTATCTTTAAATACCTTACTCCCTCAGCTTTACAGACACTAACTTTTTCCACAACGAAGAGCAAACCAGGTTCCCCCAGCAGGCAGTGTAAGTGCCAGCCCCTGAACTATGTGGCAAATGGATGCAATCGTTTCTCTGCACAGTGAACGAAAATGAACAGCTTGTCTTCCAAAGAGCTGCTCAAAGTTACCCTGGTTGAGCGGGAACTGATAATACACAGGGAACACACTTGAGACTTTTTCCACATACTGAGTTTATTCTTGGCTACACACCCAGTTTAGCTTTACATTAAAACCTGGACTTTAAGGTTTGCATTATGTATGAGAATCCAGATAAGTTTACAGTGTTAATTATTCCACACAAAAGAAAACCTGCCATTAGCAATTCAATGCATCATTTACATCATCAAAATAAAAAGGACAATTCCCTTTCTTCTAATAAATTTGGGCATAACAACTGCATCACTTTACCAGTTTAGCTCCTTGCTTTTAAGTTACTGATTCACAGGTATGCTCCTATTAACTGCGACAATTATGAAAATTAGTTTTATCACATGAACTTTTGACTGGGATCCATTACAATGCCATTCTGCCTCTCCCACCCCATCTAGAATATCATGGTTTCAAAGTTCAGGGTGCTTTGCAAAAGCAATTTATTTGCCATGGGCATGCCCGAGGTACTGGTTTCTTACTTTACTAAAAGAGACACCTTTCAGAGCTCCATCAGTCTGAGAGGGTTAACAGAAATTAACACACAGAAGAGGGGTTTTTGGTGTTGTCAGCAACAAACATTTTCCCATATATGTAAGACCTAAGGTGTTGAGCAAGGAGTGTTGATTATGGCACTGCTTTAAAGAGTCTGTAAATCATGATTTTGTGCTATGTAATGCACCGAGCAACCTTGGCATTCCTGTAAACTGTTTAAAATTTAAGTATGAAAGAGCTTGTAAGAGTGAACAAGAGACACAGAGGGTGAACACTGGCAGGTAAAGACAGTGAGAGAAGACAGAAGTCACAGCCTCCTATTTTAGCAGTCTCAAGTAACATTTAAAGGCACACCTTGAACAAATGCCCAGGGCAATGAGACGTAGGAAGGACAGGAGAATTATTAGGCTCAAGAGAAAGACTTGCAAAGAAGCCCCCTGACTCAGTGAGAAAGAAACCCTGGCAATCTGGCTTATTTGAGCCATGATGACAACACGGTGACATTCTTCAGCAGAACATTTTGAAGAGGAAGATCATATTCAGTAAGCTCAACCATATTAGAAGATAAAGGCACAGCATGCAGAGCTTATGAAATGAACAGTGATCAGTGAGCTGGAACAAAAAAACATAAGTTTTCAAGTAAAGCTAAAATAAAATGGAAAAAGGCAATGTCGTGAAGGGGTGATCTCCAGAAAATGTATCACAAGTGATATCACAAACGCACTTTTTTTTTTTCCCCTGGAAGAAAGAAAAGGCTGATCAAATTGCAAGGTGCAGAGATGCAGCCCTGTGAATACACAACTCCCTGCTGGGCTGTCTGCTGCACTGCTGCAGCACTCTGTCCCGGACAGCAGTGGCCAGCGCCCACCAAGGTGCAGCACTGACTGCTTGTCCTGCAGCCTCATCAGCACACCCGTACTAAAAGGCAAGGACGGTCACCAGCAAAGTCCTCAGTTGTGCTATGTCTCAACTCACTGTCACAGCCTACAGAATCAATTTATTTATTGTTACAGAATGCAAGACAAAGATCTCAAAAGCACCCCTATCACTGAACTCCTCCTAAACAAACTAACATAGAATATTCAGATTTACAAAAGGAATAGAATCATTTTCAGTTAAGCAGCTTTCCCAATGATCAGCACACTCATAAAAAACACCATGATAAAGAAAATCCACATGAAAAACCTGTCCATCACTTTTGCAACTTTTTTCCACTCAATTCCTTTGGCCCGGTTTGCTTTATGGTCTCTAACACAATTAGCAATATACTCAATATTTTTAATCAGCATTTTGTAACAAGAACAGCAATTAACAGTCTCCCTAACATTTTCACCATTAACTCCATAGCTTTTATTCCAATTTCCATTGAGCTTCTCCTTGAGATTGCAGTCGTCATTCCTAGTGGAAAGAGGACTCCTCACTTCTTTGTGCCTCCTCTGACACCCATCATCCCCCTCTAACCTACATTCTTCTTCCTTCTCTCTTTTTGGACTTGTGCAATTTTCACCCACATCATAAACAAAAAAGATTTTTGACATATAGTCCAAAATAACCACTTTGGCCCACTGTGGAACAGGCTTTGCTTCTGAGCCACAATGATGGAGATTCATTATAATGATTGTCAATGCAGTGGAAGCTGTGATCATGGTCATAGTTGCTATGTAGTACTTCCCTAGAACACAAAATAAAATAATATTAAAGATGTTACTCTAATAAAAAATTCAATGAAATGTAACAGTGTGACAACATAGTGTTAAGCATAAATGCAAGGGAAATAAAATTTTAATCACCTTAATTCTCTTAGATCAGGATTCACCATTTAAAAACAAAGATAAAAGCCATTAAAATGAAATCTCATACTCATTACTGGCATGTCTTTATCAGATGAATATGTGACTACTGTATTAGCATGGTAAATATTTCCAAGCTAAACCTTCTGATTACTTCAGACACATCCATTCAGAAAGCAGCTCAAAAATGTTTCTCAAGAGCCTTGTTCTTTTCATAGGATCTGCAAAATCCCCATGCCAATGGCTTCACATGGCACCTTGAAAATCCCATTTCCTCAGGTATTAACAACAGTGATGATCACACTTTGTTTGAGCTATTGTCGCGCCCCACACCAGCAGATCTGCGCTTTCACATTCAAACATGCCAGTGAATAGGCATGTTTGCTCGGCTGGCATGCGGAATCACTGTGCTGCCTGCTCCCGTGTCGGAGCACACAGCTGTAGGAGCACAAGCTGTGCTCCTCTGCCCTTGCTTTGGCAGCTGAAGCACCCGGCTGGGCACCCAACCAGCCTGTGCGGAGAAGCAGCTCCCAGCCCTGCTCTGCAGCCTCTGCAGGAGAAGCGAGAGCTGACGGCAACAGCACAGGCAGGACGTGCCACAGACAAGTGCGACATGAGCCCAGTTTCAAAGGGATTGGAAAGGATGGCAAGGGAGAGCGTGGGAATGGAGAAAACAGACTGAGCTGGGTTCCTCTCATTGCACATGAACTTTCCTGAACTCCCAGACATAAATTAAATTTCAACATAATGACTTCTCAGGAACTATAATCCAGGGTAGCAATTGTCAGATATTAAGCCAGCTGTGAGTATGACAGCCAGGCCATCCAACTGTCTGGATCTGACAGAAACGTATCTTGAAACAGTCTGACCTTGTGCTTATAGCTTTTGATTATACTTCTTGCGTTAGTTCTAAAATTGTTTTCCATTACCAGCTTTGTTTCAAGATGTGATAGCATAATTCGAAATATCTAATTATATTTAATAAATATAAAACAGCTAGCTAATGTATAATTTAAAATAAACACAAAATAACTTCTAAAAACTGCAGCATACCTGTACAGATTCCACACATATTTTAAGTACTTCATTATGTTTCAAAAATGTAGCAAATTTATCTTTCCAGAAATCACAAATTACATTAAGATTTTCTGACATATAGCCCGGCTATTAATAAGTCATGCTTAAAGACTAAGTGTGTAAAGCTCACCTATCAAAGGTACATTTTCAGATGGGGGCATGATCTCTGCAACCATCAGCTGGAACACGGTCAGAGCAAGAAGAACTGTAACACCCAGAGACACTTTCTCACCAGAGTCTGCAGGGAGATAGAATCCCAGCGGGGCCAGGAAAGATATCAAAATGCAGGGAAGCAACAGGTTAAATATGTAGAAAGAGGACTTCCTTTTCAAAATCAGCGTGAAGGTCACATCTGGATAAGGCTCAGAGCAGCAGCCATAAGTGATAACATTCTTAACTGCTGGCATACCATGAATCTCCCATTCCACATCTTCTATGAAGTCAGAGAGGTCACCACTATCAAGAGAATTGATGAGGTCTACCTGATTACCATTATAGGTCCAGGACCCAAAGGTGAGGTTGCACTGCTGGCTGTCAAAAGGAAAATAAGACACATCCACTACACAAGAGCTCTTTGTGATAGCAGGTGCATCCCAAGTGATTTTTCCGTCATATCTCAGCACTACATTAGTATTTACTGGTTCTGAAAAGTCATCATCAGCCCTAAAAGACAGAAAAATGGCAATCAGGATTGACAGACAAAAACTTAAGGGTGAGGGCAAGAGATGGTAGGCAGTGGGGAAGACCCTCCTTTCACACCATCACAAGCGTGTTTCTGAAATCATATTTACACTGAATTTTAGTAGGAACTTACTATTAACCATTATTTACAGGTATGAATGCCCATGAATGTCAAACATCAGTGTTGCTGAATTATGTTGCATTTGTTGGCCATAGTTCCTTCAAACTCTACCTCAAACAGAACACAGTAGGATAAGAGTCCATTAAAAGATGAAAACAGTCTGCAGGTCATTATTGGCCTAGGAGAGCAGACAAGGAGTGCAGCCTTTATGTATCATCTTTTTGTGGACAATCTTCCAGAGTTCTCTAGGAGCCTCAGCAGAAAGCACCTCAGACAGCCAGAGTATTCAATTCCCAGTGCAGAGAAATTCAGAAAATTTGTTGGGTAGCATAATTTTCAGATCTTGTCTATAGCTTTATTGCAAAATATTTAGATTATCAACAACAAATGTTAAGACAACAAACATACCCCTTTCTAAGGTAAGGTAGAGATGAAAGTTCAGACTCTGCAGGCCATTTTCTCCTTTAACCCCCTCCCTCCCTCAAATATGCAAGGTGATTTTCTCCAGCCACACTCACTTGTTGTATAGGACAATATCTGGTCTCCAAACCAAATTGCTTGGGATCCTGATAGAATCCAGCCCATCATATTTGTCTTTGTCCCATCTGAGGTATGCATCATACCAGCTTTGTCGAATCCATAAGTAAGCTGACAAAATTTGGTTCCTTTCATCCTGCATAAAAATGTAGAAATATTTCTAGCTGAAGGTGACAAAAATCACATCTTATATGCAGACAGCATTTGTGACATGGCTTTTATGTAGTGCTCAAAACAGGCCAGAATACTAACAGGCCACAAAATAATTCTCAGACAGGCATCTAGGCCCATACACTGTACAGGAAACTCACTGGTCTGGACTCTCACTTGTGCAAACCTTCATCTCTCAGCACCCTTCCTAGTTTTAATCACAGTATCTAATGCCCCCAGTTCTTCCTAACTTCCTTTTCCAAGCTTCAGAACAGCAAATAGCTAACAGATGCAGGCTAAGAAATTATTTGGGAGCTTGGCGAGGCCTTGGAATTATAATTCAGAAGTCATAAAAATAATCTTTCCTTCTCCTTCCAGACACATTTTCCTTTACCTTAAAAGCGTATCTAAAAAACTATATTTATAAAATTACTGAAGGCTAATTTTATGGATTTTATGTAGAAATTAATTGCAGCTTAGAAAAAGCATTTGCTGTATTTAAAACTCAGCAAAAGTTGCCTGGAGGGTGTGATACCAACACCTAACTACAAAAGAGTCTTAAAAGTTCAGCAGCTCTAAGTCTCCAGACTTATAATGGAAGCCTTAAGTGATGCAATTCTTCAGAGAAGAATGTAGAAAAAACTGGAGAGCAGAACACACCCCCAGTCCCTGAGGCCACCCCCTCTCCCCTGCCCGTGAGGAAGCATTCCTGGAGTTGTCACGACAGACTGAAGGCTGCTTTTTCTACTCCAAACAAAAGGCTTGCATCTAGTATATTCCTGCATATTTTTAGAAAAACAGAACTCTACTTTTACTCACCATGTCTTTAATTTGGGACAACGTGATCTGAAGGGTGACATTCAGAACTTTATCTGTGTCTTCCACTGGTCTCAGAGCATTGGAGTAGTCTTCAAACAGTTCATTAAACAGCATGTGAGCATATTTTCCTTTGGCTGATTCTACAGCTAGAAAACATGCACTTGTTCAGGACATTAGATTAAACACTGAGCAGCATCAGAAAGCCCCTCCTTTCTACTGCTTCAGGCTGTATTTGCTATAACCATATTTATCATTCATATATGGTAGAATGTCATTAGTTCAGCTACAGAAGAGTACCTGATGAAGTTATTCAAATAAAGACAGTGTTCACCTGGAGCAAGTGAATAGCTAACTTGAGCTTTTCACACCCACTGAAAGATACTGTATATAGCAATCCCTCCCTTTTTTGAAAGTAAATATAATCACTTTTATTTTACTAATGACTGTCACAGGCAGATATTATTGACATCCAGTCAGCAAGGTCTGAAATTACACTTACAGGCTAATGGCTTTTGGTATGTCCCCACATGCAGCACTGGTAAGATTCCTGCTACTTCCAAAAATTTAGTCTTTTTTTTTTTTTTTTAAACTACCACCTGTAAAATGTCTGAGCTGCTTTTCTTCACAAGCTGGCAATTGCTTAATGTGTGAATACGTCTGTGCACCAACATCTTTTCAAAACCATGTATTTGGAGATGCTTCTTGCTATCCAAACTTAGATACTAAAGATAATTGGCCAAAACTTGAGGTTTTAAATTATACTTTTGCTGTTTCATACTGTTTTGTACATCACAGTTTCTCTAGGCAGCCTCTTTACATAGATACACAAATTTCTGCAAGCAAAAGGCAAGAACAACAGAAGCACTCTGCCAAAACCCACCCCTGAAGGTGGGGTAACTGAGGTTCTTCTTAGTAGATCCCTTGGGATGGATAAGAGTGAAACAACCCTGAATGGTTGTGTATAAATACACATATTTATGTGTATGATGCAATGCTGTCACTGAAACTACAGGGAAACAGAAACTCTCCAACAACTCCTCTTCCATGTTAGAGAATTAGGCATTACTTTAATCTGGGCAGGATGTTATTCTAAGCAGGACATGCAATAGAAATTATTTCATACACACATGCCCGGATTGTGCAATGAAAACCATTCCATCGCACATGGTCCTTTACCAGACTTTTCACCTATTTACACATAAAAACCCCAAAGAAATTCACATTCGCTCGTTTTAAATTACACAGTTCTTAGTGTTCAATCTTCTCTTGGTTATTGATCCCTTCGATACTAATTCGACCCTCATTCCTTGATTCTCTTATCAATCTTTTCCCAGACCAAGTGTCTCCGGGGGAGTAATGCCCGTTAATGTTCCTTTATTTCCTGGGTACCTTCTGGCTACTCCCCATATGCAGATGTTAAACTCATCAGACCTCACCCGGTGAACGGTCCTTTGAAGACTAACTTCAATTCCCCTCCCCCGGGCAAAGGCGAGCAAAGCCCTGACTAAAAGTTACCCAAAAAAATTTAAAAATTGCCTCAATTCCAACAATGGGAAAGAGGTACGTAGTCGTATCGGTTACTATCTATAGAAATGAAACTATATAAAAGCATAAAGCTTGCACTTAAGAAAGTATAGAAGAAAGAAAAAGAAAGAAAAGATAAGAGTAGATAAAGGAGAGGACAAATATCACCATACATGATAAGAAGTATTATGCCGTCTCACAGGACCTGCTTTTTATCGGTCTTCTCCTTATCTGGTTCAAAGCCCAGCCTGTGGCTAAACAAAGGTTAATTTGTCCCGGTGCCCTGTGGTGATGGGTGCCCACCCGCTTTGCCCCTGCCTTCCTCCCCGTGGGTTGCGGGGTGAGCCCGGCCCCAGCGGAGCACCCGCCGCTCTCGCCGATGGCCGATTGCTCGAGTCATTGTCACCGCGGCACTCCGGCTCCCGCACGCCTGCAAGACTCGTGCAAATGCCAGCTGGCAGTTTGCAGGGAACGAGTGCTTTGGAGTACATCTCTGGTGATTCACACCTACTTTCTGGACTAATCAAGAGTTCAAAGCAAATCTTCCTGACTAAAAAGAAAGCCCAACAAATCAAACCTGCCCGAGGAGCACTGCAATTCTGGTCGTACATGATCGTTTTGTCTATGCATCAGTGACACAAAGTTAAACTGAATAGATCAAACACTTCTGGGGCTCAGCCGTGTAGGGTACATCAGGTCACAAGATCCTATGTGAATAAAATAAACTTCAGTGCAACATTTAGCTAGCAAGCAGTATTCTCACCTTTGAGTATCACTGCTGCGAACAGCAACCACAGAGAGACGTAAAAGGAGGAGAGGCTCCTCATCTTCATTTCTGGACCTTAAATAAAACTGTTCATCCAAGGGCACAGAAGTGTTTGCCACCATCCAAAACTATCCAAAGAAGTAAATCAAGGTGCTGACACGCTGCTGCGGCTCTAGAAGCAGCTCGTTCGTCCCCCCGCAGCTGTCAGAGCCCCGCAGCGATCGCGGGCTCTGTCCCTGCCACCGCCTGCTCCCCCCTCTCCGAGTAACCTGAGCGCTGCCTACTCTCAAGCTAGGGCTGAGACAGAAAACCAGCAGATTGGGTATCACTGCAAAAGTTGTATTCCCTTGCATTTTTACTACAAATGCAAGATTTCGTCCCATTTATGACAAATCCTTTTACAGTTCTTTGGAGGGCTTTGTTTTACTGCATTTACATTCTGCAAGAGCCCGCTCAGAACCAGTTCTGTGGAACTTGTGGACCTTGACAAGAAAGTGATCTGACTCAGTACTTTAACAGGAATTGTAACACTGTACATCACACATCCAATATCACACAGAAAAAAACCCAATACCCACGGTCTCTTCCACTGTGATAAAACAAGGTTTTCATTACCAACGTGTTGCCACATGGAAGAGATGCAGTTGCACCGAAGTCAGAAAACACATTTGATATTTGGAGTAGCCCAACATCACTGTGCAAACAAGAACTTCAACAAGTGTAGACAACTTGGAGACCAGTACTCAGCACAGTAAATCAGGAGCAAAACTGGACATTGCAGGTAAAATGCCATTTCCCTTATACAGTGCAATTTTTCACAGGTGAACTTGACAACAAAAATTACAGTTACTGGACCACACTTACATTTAGCCAAAAGAGTTTCAAGAGAAAAATATAAACATGAAACAATACCTTACCTGGCCTTCCATTTCACCCTGATGGTCAGAACAGCTCTGTCTATATTACTCATGTTGTCAGGTTAGCTTCCTAGTACCATAGACATTTTCTTCCAAGTTTCTCAGACAAGAGGAGTTACTTCCTCCTCTCCACAGTCCAACCCATCCTTCATGATATACTGCAGTCCATTCTGCCTTCCTTTTAGAACAGATAACAGAAAACAGTCATTAAAACAGAAAGTGAAAATATAGAATGAGCTACCAGGAAAAAATTTGGTCCAGAATAGTCCTCATCCACAGAGGTCATAAAATATTGTTGCTTGCACAGTCTTTTGGCCAGAAGAAAAGTTTTCCCTCCATACACATTATTTCTACACAGCAGCAATACAAGCAGCCACTGGCTAATGTTTGTGCTTTTGTGGGATTTATAAATCAATTACATTTATGGCTAGGTTTACTAGGTGAGCAATAAATAATTTTGGTCCAAGGTCCTGTAATGAAATCCATATCTGTCATTTCATTTGAAGAATTGTGAAAGGAGTAAAAAACTAGAAAACTGTTTAGAAGTCAAAAATGTCAGAACAGCCCCTAGGCAGTATGTAATAACTTGCATTCTCTGTGGGATGAAGGTATATGATGCCAGAGACAACAAATGTCATGGACAGAAGAGAAAAGATTTTTGGATACAGTCAGATAAGTGCATTCTCAGGGGATCATTTTAGTCTACAATAAATTGCCATTCTGTCAGCAAGGAGCTACTGCATAACATCTCTTACTGTAATCACAAGAGAGATGACGGGTACTGCTTTAAGAGAGTCACTATAAACACTACTGGAATCAGGATTAGCCTTAATCTGCTGCAGGTTTCAGACAACCGTGTGACCTGTTACATCAGCAATACACTCATGTCAAGCAGTGTGGACTGATGTACTTAAACATACAGACAGGTAAACATGAGCACACATGTATATTAGACATGTCTGTTACGTTTGAGACACTGCATTGACTGCACAGTGCTTGAAAAAGTAAACTAAAATACCTCCAAAAGCCTTTTCAATATTGAAGACACAAAAAAATTAACAATGTTAGTATGACAGACCATTTAGCTGATGTTTGTTCACAAAATATCTGATTTGTATTTTTAATCAAAATATCCCTAATGTATATCTTTTGTAGGAATGCCGAGCATTAACATTAATTTCTCGTTTATCTGAGAGATTCTTCTACAAAGCCACACTTCCTCAGAACACAGTTTTTAGGTTTTGGCATGATCTAAGGCAATACTAGCCCCAGATCAAACATCCAATTTAACTTTTGAATGAAGTTTAAATTTTTAGTTAAAGAGTTGTCTTTCTTTACAGTAAAAAGTTCTGCTACCAAATCAGAAATTAATACAAGATACGAAGCCGCTTAAAAAGATAATTTAAGAAGAGCGACGGCTGTTTGGAAGTTAGAACGAAGCCATGAAGCGCTCCCAGAAGGAGCGCCGTTCGCAGCGGAATTCCAGGGATGCTGTCGCCGCGGCTGTGCCAGCAGATGGCCCTGTCACCCAGCCTACCGACCCCGCCGAGCACCAGGCGGCTTATCTCCCAAAAATCACCCCGGGCTGCAGCCTGCTTCCGTCCGTTTCGCGGATCGTTTGCCTCACGTTTGATGCAAGCCGCGGCGAGGCAAGGTGCTCTTTTAAAGAGAAAGACGAGCAGAAGGAGCAAACCCGTTTCGTGGCTGGATCCGGGGTCTTCCCGGACGTCCTTCTCGGCGGGAGCAGCAGAGCTGAGCCCAGCCACGGGCGGGTTCCAAGGCAGCGAATTCCAGGCGTGCCATCGCCGGTACCAAACCTCTCCGGGCTTGTACCAAAGCTCCTTTGGGGCACAGGCTGCTCCTGCCCCTGCGGAGAGTGATTGGGGCCCATGGCACAGCATCCAACCCCGCCGCCACGTATTTTGTTCAAACATTTGACTTCGTGGGAATGAGTCTGGGCTATGAACAGAGCTGTTAGCACTCAGTGGGACAAGAGTGGACCATTCATTGCTGCACTGAGCTTGTACAGCACTCACATAACGCCTGTAATTTTTTATGCTTCTAGACACATGTATCCTAGTATGTAGACATCATCAAAAACATAAATAGGACAGACTGAAGTGGAGATGACATGAGAAATCTCTTTCATATTAAAACTTTCAAAGTTAGATATTTATCTTAGCCAAACTATAAGCAATGTAGGTAAGAAGTGTAAAAACATATTTAGAATTTTGTTATTTCAATCCTCCTTCTCCTGCATAAAATAATAATTTGCTCTTGAGCCTAAGGTTTTTACATGTACATTTTCAGAATTTTTAATGGATTCTTACCCTTTTTTGCATAAAAACCATTAAGAGTTTTCAGCCTTCAACTGGAGAAGCTGCAGATACTGTACAATCACAGGCCTCACCATTTATAATCCATCCCTTCATCCGAGAACAATAAAGAAGAACAGATTGGTTTCTAAGCACAGTTTGTAAGAAATGTCTCACAGTCTGCTTCTACTTGCCTTCCTGCCAATTTTTCCCCACAGAAGCTGTTGCATTCACTTTCTTCACAGCATTTGCTACTGAATATTATCTTGTGATAGGGTCAAGCAGCACACTAACTGTTCAGAGTCAGACTTCTCTCCTTAGACTAACTGGTCTTAACAGCACGGGTAACAACAGCTCGAGAGAACACAGCACTTCATTTAGATGCAACATGTTTCTCTCCACCTCATTTTTTCTCACCCACCTACTGCCTCCTCCTTCCTTCTTCTCTAAAAATCCCCTACCACCCGAAACCAACATACTCATTCATATTTTCTTCCACCCTGCTGTACACACAGAAGATAGGAAATACATTAGGAGAGTTCACAATTCTAGCTCATGAGATACAGTAGAATATTAGCCACATTTTCCAGAGGTGGGAAATCCTCATTTGCATGTTACAGTTCTGGCGTTTTCTGAATATAAATTTTTTTGGTGCACTTACACAGGCAGTTCTGCCAACCACATTCCCGTACCTGAAGAGAAACTTTCTGAACCTAGAAGTCTGGTATTACTTAATGTGATCTAATATGCAGCAGGCTACCCCTTTTCCAGCACAGTGCTTACAAGATCATTAGTAATTTGTCCATCAGTTTCTGGCAGGGTTAAGGACAAAGCTAGTTTATCATTTGAGGTATCAGGAAGTTATTTTATACACAGCTCTTTCTCTTTGGGATAATTTCCAGCTTTGTAGCATGCCTTTGAATGGCCAGTTGCAGAATCTGAGCTCTACACAAAGGCAACCTCTGGGCTTAGACACAAATCACGTTTGCTGTGATAGGCAGCCTGATGCTCCAGACCAAGCTGAATTAGAGAAAAATTTCTACACTGTTACAAGTGTGCTGACAGACTCAAATATCTTCCTCCTGTTGATCACTTTTGAGCCATGGAAGGCAGCACACTGCCTCAGCTCTTGGAGTAGAAGGGAGTCTCCCAGCTCCCACTGCAGGCTGAAGACAGCTCTAGGTGCCCCAGCTTGTATGCGTATCACAAAAAACCCCAGACATAAAACTGGTGTCTGAAGAGGTGAGTTTGAAAGGCAACAGTTTAGATACTAACTCAAAACTAAAGTTTCACCCTCTCCAAAAATTTAGAGGTTGATAGGAACACCCCTTTAAAACACTACCAGAACTCATCATGACCACAGGAGTACCTGCATGGAGGGTTTAGCATTTCCTGAAAACATATGCTGTCCTGGTAAACTCACATCCACCTTGCAACACAAAATATGGCACAGCTACATAGGGGAGGACAAAACTCTAAATTACCACAATTCATTTAGGCCCAAACAAACCTCCCTGTGGGATAAAGCAAGCAGCAACTACTCATCTCTGAGGGAAAAGATCTTTTGATAAATCATGGGTTTAGCTACTGAAACATTTTGTGGTACATGGGTACTGACATCCTTTAAAATGTCCTAGCATGAACACACCTACATTATGCTATGGTTTAAGCAAAAATATTCCCTCTTGAGCAAAACATTGTAGTAAACCTGCTGATTTATTCAAACTCTGCAGCTACACTCATTCTGGCACAAGAGTCATTTGTATCTTGGGAACAAAGCACCACCATTTCAGCTAAAGACAGCATTTTCTGAAGTATCTGTGAGCACAGTGGCT